TAACAATAATTGCTATCTCGCAAAAGGCTGTCCGCTTCCAACCAAAACTATTCATGCCAACACGTGCCGATGGGAAAGTTCTATACAATCAGCGAAGCCCTGCACTAGTTACAAGCTCGATATCGCTACTTTTTGGAAACATCGATTCCAGTGTGAACGATTTCCTCGGATCTAGATTTCCTTTCAAAGAAGTTTCAGAATGTCGCAAAAAGGAGGCGTTGTGCTTAATCACACATCCGCTTCGAGATAAAAAGATTTAAAAGTTCCGCTTATTATCAAGCACTACTGCGACATATATATGGACTGGGTGATATTCCAAGAAACTTGTCATTAAGTGACTTCAAAAACGGCATTTAACGGAATCTCCCACATCATGTATGATTGAATATTTTTATCACAAAAGGCTGTCATCAGAGCTAAATGATGATTATACACGAAACGTGATTCTATGTCACAAGGTTAATCGTAACCAAGAAGTAGTCGTATTACCTCAACTCCAAGGATGTGTATACCACAATTTTCCAAAAGGGAAGACTGAATGTAAAGCGACTGAGTTCAAACCCTCAAATAACCTCATTTTGACGGACCGAATGTCATGGCGAAGCTCTGAGCAGCGCATGTGAATCAATGGAATCCACGTTGATTAAGGTGACACTGCGCACCCAAGTACGCAGCTGCCCAGCGGAACAAGCTCCGCTTTTAGTCGATAGTCGAATCGAATGAGGACTCTTCTAATGGAAAGCGAAATTAAGTCGAAAACATACTTGGATCGAATTTTAACGACATGTCGACGATGCTTCGAATCAGGGAACATAAACGAGTCCTGGACCGTCCTAAGTATTGGTCCATCGCAGTAGATTTGGCTAAACAAAAATAAATCAATATTCAAGTCGAAATACTGATTATAAAGCTAGGTTCAGGCACAATGAAAAGCTAAAATGTACCTGAGTACAGATAAAACAGTGTAGAGCATTGCCTAGCGACAAGTAAACTTTCACTCCACCGCAGCGATTTCTATATCGATGTCATGAAACGTCGTCTTCTACAACAACTGCAGAGTGCAAAGAAAGCAGTTATTGGGGGCGTCCAAGAAACGAGAGTAGTTACTTTCAAAGAAACGATAAGTTGTTTGATAGTTGTTCGAAAGAACGAGGGTGGACTAAAGAGCGCATCGACAAATCAACGAATCGATGGCGCACGCTAGAACTCCCAAAACTGCAGCAAAAAGGAAAGAGAGCAAAAGGGACATTGGTACATGTTCAGAATAACCACTAGTCATTCACACCGCTCTTCCCAAGAGAAGCAGAACTTTTTCACAACAACACAGTAATAAGATGCAGGTAATATTCAGTGAAGCAACTTGAGAAAACTCATAAGGAAAAGCTCCTGAGATTGATTTTGCAGAAGACATACCTTATGCAGCTTTGAACTTGTTAACAACCTCAGTGAGTCGATCGACGTACCCGTACCACAAGACAGAGCAAATGTGAGGAAAACCGGTTACTCACGAGGAGGATAATTAAATCATGCACACCACCCCAAATCAGAAAACACATACATATCTAATCATACGCACAGTTCTACTCAAGATATTAGTGTTAAGAAGCCACGAGAGTTTTATGAAGACTCCGCCTTCGCAGACTACAAAGAACGTTCAAACACTTACAATAGCAGACCAACCGGCGATCGAACACACCTTTCGTCACATGAGGATTTCGCGAGATGTTGGGATTCACGCTCTCGTTCATGTGAACCATTTCGCAGAATGTACGCAAGCGTGTCCAACTTTTTGGACACATGAAATCATTCTCACAAAATTGAAACGTTGAAATGTCAGAGGAAGAGCTTGACGTCCCTTTTCGCCAAAAAGAAAAAAAAAAGGAAAAGAGTTGGGAGGAGGAGGAAAAAGGAAAAAAAAAAAAAAAAAAAAAAAAAAAAAAGAAAAAAAAAAAAAAAAAAAAAAAAAAAAAAAAAAAAAAAAAAAAAAAAAAAAAAAAAAAAAAAAAAAGAAAAAAAAAAAAAAAAAAAAAAAAAAAGAAGAAAAAAAAAAAAAAAAAAGAAAAAAAAATATTATTTTTCTTTGTATGAACAGCCCCATGAATTTTGATTGAGAGATGATTCAAAAAATCTCGTTCAGGATTGGCAAGAAGCGTAAAATTGGCTTATGTTGGTCGCCAAGCAGCAAAAAACATCAGCAGTGAAGCAATAAAGTTTCATGCATCCTTGATAGCAATTGAGAAAAAAATCGAGAAACTTGGCTGAAGTCTCCTCTCTCACTAAACATCAAGGAGGCAAAGGATACAGATCAATCAAATTAAAACAAACGAGTAACTCGGGACCTCACAGAAGTTTCAGGGTCGATTGGCACATGGCCTGAGGGCTACAGCGAGTGATTTTGCACATAAATTTTGAGCACATGAGTGCCCTTTTGAACTTCAGTGATTCGTAATTAAAGCACTCCCTCACGCCCGATAAATAAAGGGTACATATGCTGCGATATAACAAGAACTCCTAGACGATGATATTATGTATTTGAACGACTAATTGACTTCGCTAATGTTCGTGTCTAGACGAATTAAAACTTCACAGAAAAAGATCAGTGGGGGCAGGTTCGTGCGTAATCACATTAGACAACGACCAATCAAGAGGTAAGTCAACGCGGAAACAATTCACATCCAATTTTTTCTCCCGAACTATACTGACATCACAGCCATCAAACGAGCAAGCAGTTTGGAAAAGATTTTGAACATTACCGCTTTTTTGTCAGATGACCTTAATGATTCTGTTTCCAGTGTTGGCTTTCTACCGTTTAAATATTGACCGCAATGCAACAAAAGTAGATTGCCAAGACTTGCTCGCAGAGTTATTGTTAGTTTTAGTTACTGTCGTTAGATCGTTTTCATGGTACGTATACCATGAAAAGCTGAGTTGGGATTGAAATGGTGCCCCGGTAGCGTAACTGGTTAGCGCACTTGCCCGGGAAGCGAGAGGTGCGGGTTCTAGTCCCGCCGGGGCGAAAGTTTTGTTCACAACCCAGCATTCTTGTGAAAACTTGTCGCAGGTTTCCTATCCCGCTTACTTCCTATCTTTGCGAGTGAGATCTTGAATTTCACGTTTCAGGACGAGATATCGAATGTGGGAAGCAGATAGACACGCTAGACGAGCAGATGAGCTTGCCTTTCATTTACAGGAAGGAGCTTTTCATTTCGCATCAATGATATATCGTAGGTTACGAAGAATTGGTATCAAAGGAATCACTGCCACAATCTCAATGTTTAACCCCGCTTCACGTGCGCGACCACCAGTAAAAACATACTCTTTTTCAACGTCTACTTGAATTCAGCGAACTTAATATTCTTTAAAGAAATATGGAGGAGAAGCAATTGATCTTCATCCAATCAAGGATTTCGCTTCCCTTCTTTACAAGCAATGAAGAGATGGGAAAGGAAATCTCCCCCCCCCCCCACCTACCCACTCGACTAAGCAAGGCGGCAATTATTTCCAATTTCGAGATACCCAAGATGTCCAAAAGCAAAATGCAGATCGCTTAGGGCCTTCTATGGCTGAGCCCTAAACGTTTACAATGAACTGCTTCCAACAATTTTAAAAGCTTGAGCTCTTTGAACCGCAATGCCCCTCCTTTACTATGAGACCCCCGAAGTATAACCACGCAGTAGCCATGTTCATATCCAACTAAAAACTTTGGATACGGCACGCGCGTAATGTACGCGATGACCTCGCAAGATACTAAGATAATCGATAGGACTAAGCCTTAGAGGATGAAGGACTCCGCAGTTTTATCTCCGAATTGGGGAGAAAAAATGAAGAGCTGCGCTGATCCCTAAGCAGATGATGGCGATACTCAAAATGTGATCCTTCTTTCGACGAGAGTCACACTCACGCCTACGAGGTCACACCTCGGCGTGCGCTAGTTTTCCAAACTCTCGTAAATTGAAGACTCGTCGGCGTGATTTCAAGAACTACGCAAGACCTTGTGTGTGTTTATCGCTCAATCTAACGGCGGTCCATTTTCTTGCTACGAATTGCGACCGCCCGTACTTTGTGACAACAACAGGTGATGATCAGTGTGGGACCTCTATCAATGGGGTGGTGTTTCGCCAATTTCAGAGAACGGTCTACTTGATTTAGCTGAAAGATGTGATTGGCGATCGGTAAGAAAAAGGAGAAATTGTTGTTGAAGTTTTGTCGGCCTTTACAGATCCAATATTTGCACACATTTGTATAGGGTTCTATTCATTTTGGAAACGTCTCAGGAAGAAACTCAGATTACGAACTACTCTCTGGAAGTATAATTGGAATGATTACACCGGAATAGCTCATAATCGTCGTCGTGGGTATCCAGTTCCCTTTCGAGCGGTACCTATTGCCAGAATTCTTTGATTTAGCATTGTTGACATTGACGTAACCGAAAGATGATTCACGGTTGTACTACGTGGGTTTCAATAAGTCAGTGATAAACAGCTAAACACATCATAAGGCGATTTAGTCTATGTATATAATCCTCGAAACGGCTAAAGCTAGGCATGAATTGTGACAACAGAAGATCATCAATTTCAAATGGCATTGTCTACGATCAATTCAATGGTCATCCTTGGCAAAATGGAAGGAATGTAATGCTTTTAAAAAAGTTCGGATGGACAGACATTAAAAAACTAATCAGACGAAGATTACTATTATAAAAAGGTACTGAATCAGCTATCTTATTTGATTTAAAAAGAATCAGCGATTGTTACACCTCACAAGTATAAAACTATGACTAAAACTACTCAGATTGTTTAGTTCAGAGCACATCGCAAAGCCAAACACAAGCCATAAAACTGGTAAAAACTGCGATAGTTCCATCGGAAAACTGTCCATGATGGGAAAATTCGGCAGTTTTCTTGCTGCGAAGAGTGAGAGACAACTGCGTCCACACAAATCAAAACGATTTGAAAACGAGTGGGGATGACGGTGGAAAACACGCTCCAGCCGTTCTTGCAATGAAAATGCGCGGTCCCGTAGAGAAACGTCGCGAAAGCTCGTCCACGACCTCGCGGCACGAGACTCATGAAAAACTAATCAATCAGACAGTCTTATCAGAGTTCAAGCGGATTATGTGACTGGTGATATGCTACGTCACGTCACGAGTAAAAGTCCCGACTTTTTCCTGGAACATGGCGTAAAGCTAGACAGACGCCATGGGAGAAAAACGATCATTCCCACATACTGCCAAAACGTCTTCACATTTTATTGGAATGCGTGAAGGTAGTACCCACCACGATCACGTGTTGTCAGTTTCGGCTTTCTGCGTTGGCGAGTATGGACAGCTTTGATTGAAACTATGCATCGTTGCCTGCTCGCAACAAGTGGCAATTTCATGGTAATCACTGAAAGGTTTCAAGGTTCAGTTCCTATGAAGGGGGGGGGGGTAATGTGGTGCGACGCTTTCGTTCTAAGATGGCTCGAAAAGCGGGAGCGCAATAGTTCACGTACCCAAGTGGTTTGTTGCTCCCCTTGCAGAAAAAAGAAATTGGTGCAGGTGGCTCGAAGTGCCTTACTACATCCCCCCTTACTGGAACAAATTTTGAGTTTCGGTACGGCATTTTTAAGCTTCTACTGAGCGCAAACACGTTTGAAGGCTTTGCACAATCGTGCATTACCTGAGACCGCCCGTAGGACGAGTTGTCCTGGCTGCGATTTGGAAATGCCACGACAAACAAGTACAATTGCTAGTAAATCTCGTTATTTCGCGTTTTCTCGTTTACAGATTGTGGAATCTAATCTATTCTTATCTGATCCATTGCCAGCTGTTTGGAGTCATGGAGCAGTTCCTCCCAAAGGGTTCTTAGCGGTCTTCGTAGAACTTCTGGTCCAGTACAACGTCGAGTCGGTCTTGTTCTTCCTTGCCTCGTTTTGTCTGTGCTCTGCATTGAAACTAAGGCTCCGTATTTGTTTTTGAGCTTGTGGTGTGCTTCTCTCCTTCCTGGCGATCCTAAGAATTTAACCGTCGCCGTTTTGAGAGGCTGAAGAACACTGAATGTTTCACTATTCCTGACTTGCTTATTGCATACGATTTCATTCATTGGCCTTGCAAAGGATATTATTATTTCGTGATTGTTCTTTGTACTTCTTGCAGGTCCACTATACATGTAGTAACTATTTATTTCTTCAGATTTGGGTATAACACAATGCAGGCCGTGCAAGTGCTGAGGAAAATTTATGATGATTATCAGAAGTCAACGCCATCAAGACTCAAGATCATTGATGCTTATATGGTGTACATATTACTTACCGGAATTGCACAGGTGTTGTTTTCAACAGCATAACTTCGTAGCTTCAACCAGCAAGTCGGTCGAGAGTGTGTCCTTCCACCGTACGGTGGAGCCCGAGGGGTTCTGCGTATTTATGGAAGGTATTAATCTGTCTGCCATACGACCATTTCGCCAACCTTGCCTAAAGCATTCAGTTGTCCCAGTACCTTTGCAAGAGAGCTCGATTTCGTGGGTCTGCTACACCTATCCTTACTGGTTCAGGCTCTGTGCTATTTTCAGCCAGCGCGGTTGCTAAAGCAGCTGCGCGTCAATTTAGAAGAAGTTTTTAGTTGTCATGGCCATTCAAGATGAGCTGTATACTTCTATATGCACTTTTAAATAATAAATAAATGCTGATTTCTCAACCGCCTTATCTGATGAACATAGCTTTGAACAGAGCTATGGCCGCATAGCGCAGCGCTAATGGTGCTGGCTACTGGGCAAGCTCCGTGATCGGTCCTTGTGCTGGTTTACTCCTATCCTTTGGTGTAGAATTTCTCTGAAAAAATAAACTATAGCTATCTGTGAAGCAAGTTTACGATCAACTCTAGCGCAGGGTGAATATCGCTTGAGGATTCCTCAACGGCACGTCGAGGATTCTCTGCCCGATCAGACACGATCTCTCGCGCGGACATTCACACTCGCCATGCCGTGCCGTCTGTGCTCTCCGCGCGGATGTTCACTCTCGGCACTACTCTCGCATGGTAGAGAGCTATGGTCGAGGAAATCCTCGACCGTTATTCACCCTGCCTGCGGATCTGCCCCCCCCCCCCACCAATCCTGTCTCTTAGCGGTGGGGTACTACGGGGTGCTGACAAGTGTGGAAATTTGGCTCGATCCCCTTTCTTGAGTGCAGCGGCCATGTAGTAAAAACGCCGTCTTTTTTAACGCATAGCCAGCGTGACTACTACATATTCCGCGCTCAGGCACCATAGGCACCGGGGAGACGTCAATTCATCTCGCTAATGAGTGAATGTCGCTCGCAGCAGAATCGTCGCGCGCGGCAGCTGGTGGTGATTTCGGTGTGACTTTTTTAAGTCCTGTTCGGAGCTGGCTAAGTAGCTGATAACACCAGAGTGCTCATTAGTAAGCCAACAAGCGTCACCTTATGATCTCCGCACTGATTTAAGCCTCACTGTACAAAGGTTGTACCATGTAAACCTGGTTCTTTTGAACTTAATCTGACTTCTTTACTATCAGCCGCTTAGACTCCTATCAGAACCAGGGTGAAAATCGTGTCGAGGAAATAACCGCCTCTTTACGACCCCCCTCCAAAACATGGACTCTGATACGACCCCTTTTTGTCCTCTGCACATCCGGTTTCATATCAAAAAATGCTAGTTTCAGATGTGCGAGAGGGACGCAGCGCCGCTGCCACGCAAATGCGGCTTGATCCAAATGCTAGATTCAATTCTGCTCAGATTAGGTTCTCCTTCTTTCCTTTAAAGACATTTAACCTTTGCCACATTGGCCGGAAAGTAGAACATTGAAGGAGGTACTGCCCCTACACAGTTGAACAGTCTCGCGCTCCAGTATAGCGGCGCTAACTACCCGATCGCGTCGCGCGCTGTGCCTAGAGCGCGCTAGTTGGAAAAATCGTCAAATGTACCCCCTATTTAAAGGACTATAACTTTCTTCATTGATAACCATTTCAGAAAGTGAAGGCAGCTTTTGAATGCACAAGACTTCTAGTTTCTAAATTGTGCTGAGCGTTTTTCTAAGCACGCCTATTCTCGAGAGTGGGAGACGTCGAGAAATTGTCGAGGAAATTGAAATTTACATGCGAGTTCCCACTCTTAGGAAGACAGTAGCTGTCTTCATTGGCAATGCTTTGAAAATCGAGGAAAGCGTTGTAAAGTAGAAGATTTACGCTTTCTGATAGGTGCTCCAGTTGTTTCGAACGCTTTCTAGTTCGCGAGAAATCTGCGTCGAGGAAATGTCAAGGAAATTTTCGAAGCCACTCGAAAACTCTATTACTCCCTCGCCGTAGTAGGGAACTTCTTTGAACACCTTCAAAATACTTTCTGTACACGTCAGTTCGATGGAGTAAATTGAAAATGATGCACTTGGCGATCCATTCCGTTCTTGTATGCGCCATGCAGTGACCCCACTCGGAGTCATTGGGAAGGTGTTTTGTCCTAGTGACGACTTGCTTAAGCACACCAAAAGATATTTCCAGTATTAACTAATTAGGATAACTCTTGTGGTCATAGTGATGTCTGATCATTCCTTTATTCAAATCGCTTCCTTTCCAACCCGTTCTGATGAATGACAGCTTGCGGTTGCAGGATCTGATGATGCCAAGAAGGCTGCGAATCTGCCTGTTTTGAACTTTCTACCAAGATGCTGTTCCTCCACTAAGTTCTCGAAGCATGTGCATCATTCTAGAGTAGATACTCGCTGCCCTTTCCCTACGATTCTTTTGCAGGACGCGTTGCCTTCCTATGCCACACTGATCACTACGAACCAAACCAACACCACTTTCCATTTGAATTTTAATTCCAGACAGGTGTAAGATATTATTTGCATTAGGCTAACTACAACACTTGTGAAAGTAATGATGACAGCAAATAAGTGGCAGCAGCACCGTTGTGTCCGTTGATGAACCTTTTGATTACGACCCCCTCCCAACTCTCATCGGAGCAAATACGACCCCCTGTCGAGGATTTCCTCGACCGTTATTCACCCTGATCAGAAAGTATGATCTGGTCAATAAGCAGGAATATCACGTTCCAAGACACAGAATAACGGCGAGGAACTCTAATGATAGGATAAGTTGTTAATAATGGCAAGGGACAAAGAAAGTGCATTTCAAGGGGAAGGGGATTCCTATTCCATGTTTCATGGCTGATTACTTCATCTGATCTTACATTACCCAATGTTTTGATGCTAAGTTCTTTGCAAATTCGCCGCGACATCGCGGGCTGCGGCGGCTGGCGCGGCGACCTAGCCACTGCCACGATTGAATCGTCACGCCCCAGGCACTGAGCTAAGCGGTGCTAGAAAAAGTGTAGCTAGAGCGGGTGCACAGCTATTCCATCAATTTCGGGTATCACAGTTTTTTTTTTTTTCAATATATGAACTGATCGACGATCGACACATCCCTCAGTAGCTTCAGCGAGATGTCGTTCACGCTACTGCGTGTTCACTTAGATCAGCGCTTTCGATTTTTGTTTATTCTCAGAGAGGTTCAGCTCCTCACAGTCTCTTATAACAGTAGGCTGCCCGAGAACTCAATTCCCTTCTTTCGATATGCGGCTATTATGGAAGGGTTCACGCTGCAGAATTTTGCAAGATTGCCAGGCCAAAAATCCTCGTACCGCGATGTGTTTATTTCTCTGCTACTACGCGCAGCATGTTGCGAAATGGACCCGTTAAAATTCAGTTGAGATTACATCATTTATCTCACCTAGCGTAATCCCCTGGTGAGGCTCTAAATAGTGACTCCCTCATCATCTATGTGACAAAATAATTCAACTACCCTTCATTTCAAAAAGAGGGTCGCCTGCTTTTTGATCCGCAGCCGGCTACGTTTTCAAAAATGAACATAGAGAAAACAGTGAGCATGGGAGACAAGTGGTGGGCATGCATGATATATGCACTATTGGTAAAGATTAGTAAACAAGAAAGATAAAATAAATTTAAAATCGAAAAAGAGAAATATGTTGCAGGACTTTTTTCCAGAATGAGCGATCAAAGTAGTGCAATGAATACTGACATATACGATGAACCACGTCAGAAATTTTTTCTCTTCAAGCAAATGTAACTAAACCTTCTTTCTGTCATATGTCTTTGTCGAAAGTCTACTATTGTACCTAAATGACTTAATCAATTGAATGGTGTTGAATTTTCTCGAGCCAATTTTTTGTGTAATTTACACTTTAAGGCTCGAGTGAGCTACAAAATCGTCCATTCACGAAAAAATGAAGACGCTGCGCAGTCATCACGTGTTAGAACATGAACACTCAAAGTTTTTCTTCTATTTTAAATTTCATTGTAATATAATTTCAGTTCGTCTACTGTTTCATGTTGAACTTTCCATTCAACTCATTCTGTCGGTTCATCTCAACCGTAACTTCCTGCGCCTCCCGCGTGTGGTTTTTACTTCCTTCGTCCTCGCGTGTGAGTTTTCATATTTGTTCTGTGGCATGCTTACATGGTATTTGGTTCCATGAGGGACCGTTGGGAGCAAAGTGTAACGCCCAATGTTCTGAGGCAGAATTTTCTCACAATAATGTTCTTTTTACAGAACATTTCCAGCTTGTGGCGTTTGTGCGTTCACATTAGATTTGCTAGTTAAAAAGCATTTGAAGTGAACGTATTTACCTAGAAGCATTTACGTAAATAACTATTGTCAACTTTAAAATTTAGTCATCCAATATCTTTACTCCATCCTTTGGTCGAGCTTGCAACAGCTTTTCTTTTTCCTGTCTGAGTCGCTATATTAGTATGCAAATCTCCTCTTCGTGCAGCGGTTCCTTGTCAAAGTATGTCGAAGTATTTATAGGAAGAATGATTGTTCTGGTGTTTGATATGCCTGTAAGAATCTAATGGGTGATCATGTTTCAATATTTATTAATCAATAACATAACACATAACAAGTCCATCGGATCTTGCATTCTTCAGTAGAATCGATGGGGTTCCTATTGTCATAGTTTTTATAAGGTCAGGCATCCGTTCGTCGAAGGAGGGTTCCTGTTTCCCTGGAGAGGGAGAGGTTGTGGGGATGGCCTGCGATATTTAGAAGAACTGAGTGCTTCGCATTTCTCAGAACAGGGTTGGTAGGCGCGAAATACCTTGAGCTGATGTCTGCTTTTTTGACCGCTGTTTCTTTTCTGTTCCGCCTGGTGCGAAATGTTTCCGTAACTCGGCATCCTTTTGACAACACACCATATGTATATCAGATGTGATATTTAGGACGAAATGCGAGACTCTTGGTTTTTCTCAAATTCCCGTCCAAGTGTTGTTCACTAGGACAGAAAGCGATTTTTTCGCGTTTCGCACGCGAAACATTTTTCGCTGCGGGAACCTCAGGTCCACCGCTGATCATGAGTGGACCTGAGAGTTCCCGCAGCGAAAATGTTTCGCGCTGCGAAACGCGAAAAAAACTTTTTGTTCTAGTCAACTACACCCTTCCCGTATAGGGGGTGTTGTCAGAGCGAAATATTGGGCATTCGCTTCCAACGATCAGCTGCTGTGAACTTGCATGGCTCAAACAACGTTTTTTGTTCGCTCCCTACAGTTCTGAATCAATGTTACGCAATGTTGCTGGAACAGAATTGAACTATTCAAACCATCTTGTATTTTCGCGCAAGTTCTTCATGACTGCAAATGAATTTCAGCATGTCTTCGCATTCAAGTGAATGAGGAAAACAAGTCCGAGTTCTCCCACATTTCTCCCGAACGAGCTTTTGCCGATTTCATATTTGCCCACGTTGTTCTTCATCTTGTTGTTGCAAATTTCCTGGGTTAATTTATTGTTATATTAGATTATTCCCACGAGTAACAAAAATCTGTGACTTTAAGTAATTTATGGGCTATTTATGGTTTGTTCTGCTGTTAGTACTTTTCAATAGATGATTTTGTTGTGTGTCAAATTCATTATTTATTTCATCTGGTTTACTTGGTTGATGTAGCTGTCTTGCTTTTTATTGCTGGTTTGAGTTATAGATAAATCATTTATCAGGTTGCGTAGTTTGATATTATGCGTTCAAACGCAGTGCTTTGCTATATCTACTTTACAGGATCTCTAAGTCTTTACTGAGATTTGCGCCTTTGTCACATGCAGAGCTCAGTTCATTACAATTTCTTCAGAGCCGACAAGATGTACATGAATCCGATGCGCCTCATCAAAAATTCAATCATGAAGCCCGCTTAGTAAGTTTCTTTTTTTTCTCTTGAAATTGCTCGGAAGGTTTTCCAAGTCACCCTATTTGGAGTTCCCTCGGCTCTAATGAGGGCCCGGAGTAGCTGTATTTACGTCTCCTCGCTATAGTCTATCTCATTATGGCTTTTTTCATTACACATCTCTAAATTTGAAATGGAAAATCGCCGCATGCATGATTCTAGTTTTACTAGAATCATGCATTCTCTTAGGCTAGTTCTACTTGTTCCTCGCTTATTCTGTTCTGTTCGTCTTATTCTGTTCTGTGTGTCTTATTCTGTTCGACAAGAACTGGTGGTGGTTTCTTCTGGTTATAGAAATTGAACTAAATATTGACCGACTTTGTTATTACTAGTGTAGACTACGCATTCGAATTTCACCCAAATAGTGAGGAAAATCTGTGACGTATGCCAGTAGAGTTAATATTGCTCAGCAAACTGGAACACCTATAGTGAGAACCGAGTGCTTTTCCTTTGATTTAATATAACCATTAAAATGCAGTAAAGTATGCAATGTCATTAGTTCCAAACATACCCCTTTCAATCAGTGGAAGCTTTCTCCGGCCTGTTCCTGAAGTAAAAAAATTGTGTTACTTTTTCTGCTCACATTAGAGTCTTAACACACCCATGACACACCTTGGTCGACGGACTAATTGAACTCAGTCCTTTAAATCTCCTCTGCGCTCCCTCGCGGGTACCTCTCCTCTCCAAGGCTTAGTCCTAGGGCATTCATCCGTCTCTAGTCGTCTGCTTTAGCCGTCGCGGAGGACATTCATGAAACAAACCAAGTAGTGTCCGTAAATACGACAGCCTCCTACCATTTTGCCAATGTAAGATGGGCGGGATTTCGGGAACACGATCGTCTTGCCCCGCGTGCGCTATATTTGCCTGGAGAATACAAAAAGCTCAAATGGAACAAAATTATTCATTATGTTGATGACCGTTCACGTTTGGCTATTTGTCCTCGTGGGACAAGCGCGATTTTGCCGGCGCGGCCAACATATCCTACATTCATTAATTTGAAGTGAGGCATGGAAGACAGGAATGCCAATGTTGTACATGAGTCCCGTAGTTCAGTGCTCTCACTGCAATTTTAAGACATGAATGCCAATGTTGTATATGAGTCCCGTAGTTCAGCTCTACTGAATCTTCCAAGTTTCTATAACTTCTGAGTAATATCTCGGATTGAGATGGGGCCGCGTGCAGGTTGTAAAAGTGCATGCAGGTGCAGACTAGTATCCCTAGGTGTACCTTAGGTACTTGAGATTCTCTCACTTGGCCATGAACATGAGCCGCGCCCCTCTCCTGTCGATCCGTCTTCTGACCTAGCTGATCAGTTAGGTGAGGAGGTCCGTTTCTCTCGGAAAACGAGAGGGGAGTTTCCCAACCACTTTGTGATGCAGAAGGCTCCCCTGGCTCCGAAGTGTCGCATGATGCGGCTTTGTTCTTTCATGTCGTGAAAACTGCATCCTTCCCGTGTGGAACGCAAGGATCGTTCTCTTTTGAGCTCAGAAGGAAGTGTGTAATCGAACTTTTTAACCTGTAACGATGATTCAATCGTACAAGATGGCAGATGAATTGCGGACAGTCTCTTTTTCATTGTTTGGTTGAGCTTAGAATCTACAGTAGTGCTTTCAGCAGGTTTTGTGTATTGACTGACTCATTGCCAGTCATCATTATGTAAATATTTGCAAACAAGTGGTCAGTCACAAAAAGTGCGTTACTGTTATGTAATTGAAACGAGTAATCGCCGCAGTCATACAGCACCCACGGCTGTTCGTGGAACTTCGTTTCCAACATGTCAAGGATGAGGTAGATGTAGGCTCGGTGGCTCGCGATCGCTCCATCGCTAAGTCCGTCGCCGACTATGACGTCGGTCTTACACACGTTACGGTAGGGTTGTGGATAATACAAAAAAAATCAGAAAGGAATTTGCGCATGTACTCATGAATTGCGTGAAGAATGTTTTTAAGCGATGAATCACGTTCAGTAACTAGAACAAGATCCTTCTTCCTTAGATTTTTTTTTACAAAACTGATCAAGTTTCCGTTGCCTTTTTTGTTCGCTGCTCTGCATTTTTCACAAGGTTCCTTGAATGAGATCCCAATTTTTTTCCCACACATTGCTCCCAGGACTCAACGATTGCGTCTTTGATTTCGTCTTCAGCGCGCCGATACATCTAATTTCTCATTTTTGATGTGCGGATATGTAAGCTCTTCAAAAGCGAAACCACTCTTTTGCTACGCCTTCGTCCAGAAATATTGATTGTGGACTTAGACTGCGTAATTTGTCTACGCCTTGTCTTTTGTTGGTTGCCCAGGTGACCTCAAATGGCCATTGAGTGTCATCGGCCATTTACGACACTCGTGCTTACGAATTGAATTTCAGTTATCCTACGTACGGAGCATATGGAGTATCCGCATTCATCATGGCAATATACTTCTGCGAGTGGAAGCAAGTCGGCCAGTATATTCCCCTCTGGGGCAGACGATATCCTGCTGATTAGAATCTCATGATAGATAATTTGTGTAGTGGAAGCTGTAGGATTGCAGGCTGTGAATATTTTACTCGTGATAAAAATTAGTGCAGCACGTGTAGTTTATTGAATGTGAAGTTAAAGCATACACTAATTTTCCTTTGATTATGTGTTTCCGGTGGTATTACGGTTTTTTGTGTGACCTCATTTGCTACTCGTTTTCCAATGTGCCTTTAGGAATCGATTTGGTGAGTCATAATTAGAAGGGCCATAGTTTGAGTGGTAAATTAGGGAAGGGCCGTAGTGACTCATAGTCTCCCATTTCAGGGACGAATCTCGATCACCACTGTCGCCTTTAGTAAAACCAGTTTTTCATAGATTAGAGAACGGTGTATGGTCGGCAATTGCGAAAGTGCGCCCTATAGTAGTTACTCATCTCTCATCTCTCAGCTGCTCGCCTCACAGTGTCAACAGAGGACCTGTTTAAGCACCAGTCACCAACTAATTTCGAAAACATCGTCGTTTACCTCGTGGCGACCAAGCGTTGTTGTTTAGCTTTTTCATATTTTTTCCTAGACTCA